AGGAAGGCCTGGCGCAATATGGTTCATGGGGTCATGAAGAGTCGGATACGACTTAACGACTAAACAACAACAACAACCATTTGCAAAAAGTCATCGAGAGTTATTTTTGTGATTGAGACAGCATACTGTACAAATTGTTTAGATAAACAAAATTAAAATCTTGATTTTTTAAAAAAATCCCACGTGATACATTTATATTTTATTATTTTAAGTTTCTGTATCACTTTGCTTCAGGAGGTCAAGTGTCTTCCATGGGGATTTCCACCCATTGCATCATCACAACAGTCCAGCTGATTTGCAAGAATGTGTCTCACCCATCCTCAGCTTCTGTAACTCAGGATAGATTAGAATCTGGGTCTCCCTATACCTAGCCTAACACTGTAAGCACTGTACCACATTGGCTTTCTAGGTTACAGTGAGGTTTAAAGGCTAAAAGCTATGCTGTTGTGTTATGACAAATACAGTAAATTAGGAAGATTTCAATAAAATGAAATTATTATTGCTGTTCTGGTGGGTGTTATTTTGAATTCATTAGCCACCCAACTCCAAAGGAAGACTCTGGAGAGATGGTAAAACTCTCTGTCTGGCTGCTTATGTCGACATCAGAGGATGGATCACAGCACTCAATCCCCTTTTAAATATTGAAGAAAAGCTATAAAAATGTTTGAGACTTAACAAAGTCAGAAAGTGGATTGAATTACTTCCAAAGTTTTGAAGTGATCTGAAGGCACACCATTCAATTCAACAATCAGTTTCAAGAGGTGGTTTGACTGAACCTCCTTCAAACCAATTCACTTCTCTGAAGATTCTCAGAGTCCAACTACTGTACCTATGGCCATAGTTTTGTGGGTTTAGCTGAATTTGATTCTTTATATCCAATAATAAAACAATAAATTCCATGAAAACCATGATCCTAATTCAGGTGCAATCACAAATAGTAAGATACCACTGTATATGTATAGCATAGTCTCTCGCATACTAAGCATATCCAGTAGATTTCAGCTCAGCAATGCAATATAGTGAGAGATGTTTACAATGTAATTATCAAAAATAGTTGGTGTTTTACCTTTGACAACTTTTTTGCTGGATATTTACTTGTAATTTAGGGTATTACTTATAGTTTAATTGTAATACACCTTTCCTGGTAGGTTCATAAATCTCTTCCATTACACCAACTTGCAAGTCATTCTTTCATGTTTGTGTGTTGGTGTATTTTAATGGATTTTTCTCACTCCTCCCCTTCCCCTCTCAAACTTTCCTCCCTGCAGTCCTTCTCTTTGTTTTCAGTAGTAGTCCATTGGACACAGACTCATTACAGCTTTGTTTTCTGGTGTGTCACCAGGGCCACAATCAACAGCATTGGTGATTGCAGCAGTCTTCCGGGAGACAAGCCATTTTTGTTTCTGGCTTCATAGCTAGCACAAGCTGCAAAAGCTGCGTAACTCACAAGACGTGTGCTCTCCAGAGATTTCCAGTTTGGTTTTTACAGAATCAATGTGTAGTACAAATATAAACATGAAAAGAGTAGCACAGAGCTTAGCTGGAAAATATGACCTTCAAATCGCAATGAAGGGATAGCCAGAATAAAAGGTTAGTGGATTTTTTAAAAATACATCTGACTCCACATGAACTTTTGCTTGGACTTATCATTGTTTGGCATTTAGGTGATAATGAAAGGAGAACATGGGTAATGTAATGCTGTAAAAAAAAAAAAAAATCTTTTGAGCAGCCTTCTGTCTCCCATATGAACTTGCCCAATGTCATCATCTGTGGCACTGGAGTGTGTTCTGCTTCTAAGATGAGAATCCTATGTATAGGGAAATCCTTCTCAAGAAGTTTGGTTGACTCCTTTCTCTCTTGCCCTTACATAACAGATTAAACTTGTACTGATCTGTAGTGATACTGTCTTATCTTAGTATATGAATGTTTATCTATTTTGTAACCAGGATTGATTTAACTCATTTTTTTTTTCTTTTGGTTTGCTTGATTGGTTGATCACATTTCTAGACTGCTGAGCCACTTAGGTTCTCTGTGGAGTATACAAATTGAAAACATGTAACATAATATACGTATATTTTATAATATATTCACTGAGTGGAGAGAAGATTTGAAAATATGTACATTGATAAATGGAATTCATCAACTTGGGCAACTCTTGTTCTAGCTATTGTAATTGATAAATACTTAACAGTTATGTAACATATTAGAGTGCTTAAAGTGTGCTAGCCACATTGGCTTCAAGGGAACCTCACTAATGCAATGGAGCTCATTTCAGAATAATTACAGTAGGCAAAGGATTGTGCTTTTGAATACATTATAGGATTGTATTAGCCTATGACATAGCCCTGGGCTGAATAATTTTGGGAGAGGGCAAGGATTGCATTCCAAAATACAACTGTGATTAGGACAAAAACTCTTTGACTTCATTTAATCGGTTGTTCTCCATGTATATGATAGAGGGAGGTTGTCCATCTACTACATTAAAAATGGCAATTTGCAAAACTGGCAGTTTGGGGAAGAGCTCTAGAAGCCAGATCCAAGATCTTAATAGTAGTGGTGTTCACATGCAGTTGTGAAGCTTAAAGTTATGTATCTCTGGCAAAGACTTTTGCCATATCCATCACCCATATCAACCGGAAGGAGTCTGGCAGCACCTTTTCTGACAAAAAAAATTTAGTCAAAGGTATAAGCATGTGGCTTTCAGTAAAATTTGTTAGTTGGAAAAGGTGGTACCAAACTCCTGATTTTTTGCTACCATAAGCTAACATGTCTCTCCTCCTATAGTGTCCACACAATGGATTTACTTTTTGCCTCTCTATTCTATGAAAATCTGATTTTCATAGCTGGCCTGGGGCTTAACTGAGAAGAACTTGATAGCATTAGCCATGATGGAAGAACTACAACCAGATCTAGACCTGGATTGTGAAACTCTTTCTGAACTTCAGTTTCTAACACCTTCACCTAACTGAGACGCTGGGAGCTACAGTTTGGCAGCATCTGAAACTCCACAGGTTCTCTATTTTCCAATGGGCTACCCTGGTGCCAGTGGCATATGGCAGAAACAGGTGATAGTCTTACCCCATGCAATATCAGGGCGGGTAAGAACAACCCATGACCCATGAGGAGTTGTTCTGAATAAACTTATTCAGCCCTAGGTGTGCTTATCGTGTTCATGCAACCTTCAAGCTGACAGCTTCTGGCTTACTTCCAAATTCCTCTTAGCAATACTGAAGCAAGTAAAAACAAATGTGAAATCCTGAGGCCAGAGGTCTGTATTGCATCGAGATAAGCTGGGAAACTGGACTCCAATTTAGTTCATTGGATGGGTAAGCATCCCTTATCCATAGATATCTCCCTCTCTCCCTTCCCCCCTCCCTTCCCTTAGATTAATCTATGCCAAACCAGTAAGAACCAACCTTGAAATCAGAGCTGGAGAGTTACCCTGATTCAGCCAAAACTTTGTGAGATGAACCCAGCAACGTGAAGAAAAACTAATGCTGCAAAATGCCACATTTTTCCAGTCCATCTGCATAGGAGGAGTCCCATTGAGATTGACAGGGCTTAGTTCTATGTAGACTTTTACAGTTTTCATCTTAATTTCCCCAACTAAGCCTTTGGAACTTTCTGCCTACTTCCAACCATCCCTTGCAAACTATTTTCACTTCTTGTCCCTTTCTGATAAAAATCATTACTGTATATCCTACCTCTCCATCCTTTTTGCCATTTTTGAAAATGATGGAAATTGTTGTCATTGAGAGTTAGGTCAAAACTGATAACTTATTGGTCCCATCTGGTGCCATTATTCTGATAAATATACATGTAACAGCATATTAGGAGAGTTATACTTGGTTACTTACAAAAATATCTGGCTGCTCTGCCCAAGAAAATCAAAATCTGATAATCAAAAAACCAGAACTCAATATCTCTCCACAGAAAGTAGCAAGTGGATGGGAAGATGTATTGTCGAAGGCTTTCACGGCCGGCATACGATGGCTGGGGTGGGGTTTTCCGGCCTTGGTTTTTGTGTTTTTTTTTTTTTTTTTTTTTT